CAGGACACCGGCCCTCCAGGACCGAGTTTGGACAGCCCTGGCATAAACACATTGCATTACACCAAATACACAACATAATGTTCTTTTTAGCAACGGCATATGACCCCTTTAATGAACAGTGTGGAGAATATTAAAGCAATATTGATCAGCAGAATGTTTTAAGAGTGTTTGTCAGTTTGCATAAGTTCATAGCCCACCTGTTGACTGCCTGAGGGATTTCATTTGTCATCCAGGTCAGTGAGCATTTAAGGGAAAGTTCATTCTCTGTCTAATCGTGGGGAATTATACTTGACACATCACAGCAACTCTAATTTACTAAAAGCTTTTTGAAGTGAGCCTGTGATATTAAAAACATGTATCTCTAGTGTGAACAGAGCAGTACTGCATTAGAATGCTGTGTGACTGGTTGTCACTTTTGGTAGGAGCTTGTTTTCATATACGGTCTATAGCCATTAGCTTTACATAAATTGTAACTCCTACTGCCTGCATAGTCAGTCAGCTGATTACTAACAGTCATGGAACCTCATAAGTGACTGTGTTTTGCATTGGCAGCTACACACTAATAGCACTCTGTATGGCAGACCTAAAGGGATAGTTGACCCAAAATTGAAAATTCTGTCATCATACTCACCAGCATGCCGTTCCAAACCTGTATGCCTTTCTTCCTCTGTGCACAACAAAAGAAGATATTTTGAAGTATGTTGGTAACCAAACATTTTGGTTACCGTTGACCGTCATTCAAAACACTAAGGAGTGAAACACACTGTTCCCCTTTAGGAACTCGAGCTGCGTCGAGTCGCTTTGGGAACGCCCTTGCGTGACCGCGTTCTGAAGCACGTGTCAAATCAGTCCAATGAAGTAGCGAGACGTCCCGAGCGGGGTGACGTAAGCACCAGAAAGCATAAAGGTGCATCCGGCAGAGCGCAAACCAGCTTCTGCTCTTCAGTAGCGCTCTGTGTATGTGTCTGTCTATTTACTGTTGTCCGTCCGCACAAGCATATATATATATATATCAATCATGAAAAAATCTATATGGCGAGCGCTCCATTGGACTGATTTGACACGTGCTTCAGAACGCGGTCACGCAAGGGCGTTCCCAAAGTGACTCGACGCAGCGTCTCGTTCCCTCGGGGAACCATGGTTACATACGTAACCTAGAGACGTTTATCATGAATGTCACCATGCAGAGTTCCAGTCAGTTTTTAAGTGTTATGTTTTGCCACAGACATAACGTATCATATGCTAGCACTCAACTATACTATGACTAAGACTTCTGATTACATAGGAAGAGGATTTCACTTTTACACTGATGTGAAATTGTGGAAAACAACCTGAAATTCTAGCCATTGCTGTTTTCTTGCAGTTACAGTATGGTATGGCTAATTATGGGGAGTATGGGTTAACTTATTATACTCTCACTGTCGGGAGAAGAGTCTTTTTGCCTCGTTAGTAGCAACCATGTTTCATCCTTACATAATTATTTGTGTAACATTAATGTAGGGCTGCAGGATTTTTTAGAAAAAAAATAAACTAATTTTTCAGATAAATTTTGCGATTTAATTTTAATTAAACAGTTTAACAATTTAATTAAAATGTGTTCAGATTTAATTTCTTCTGCACAATTTGGTAAAAAAAATCAGTTGGGTCTGTCAAGCAATATAAATGTTTAATCTAATTAATTACATGATGTGCCGATTAGTTAATCTCAATTTTAGCTGAGAAATAACCCCTAATAAGTAATTTAAAGTCATTATTGTGTTAAATGAGAAAATGATTGAATAGACAAAAAAGTAGACAAAATGTAGCTTTAAAAAGAAATATTTTGATTCAGCATTGCATAAATAATGATAATAAATGGGTATTAATTCATTTTTTAATGAATATTGAAATATGAAATGGTTTTTAAAAATAAATAAAATGATACTTTACATATTAAAACCGCCAATAAGTTGTGGCAAGTCATTGTCTTAATGAGTGAGTCATTGAGTCAGTCATTCATTCAACCAATTTATTCAGAAACTAAACAATTGGCTGTCTTTATGAATGGGTCACCTAATCACTGGCTCATTCGTCTAGTTCAAAAACATGGATTCTTTCAAAACAACACTGTGTTTTGCTTGGAGATGCACAACAGTTCTGCTGTGGCTTTGTTTAGAACCGTTTTTTTTTTTTTCAAAGTTGAGCAAAACAGACAATATTGACAATATAGTTTTAAAATTTAACACAATATTAACCTATTTACTAACTATTTATTAACACAATATGGAACTATTGTATAAAATCAATATCACATGCTTGTGTGATATTACTAAACTATATCATATGATATAAATATAAAACAAAAACCCATAGGGGCATATAACTGCATTCTCATAGGCTACATCACATAGTCAGTCATCGTCTAGCATCATGTTTGTCAGCAACTGCGTTTTAACATGTTACTTTTTCCAAATTAATTGCACCAAATTAACATGTTAAATTAACAGCCCTAATAGCAATATGGCTATAAAACAATAATAATAATAATAATAATAATTATTATTATTATTATTATTATTATTATTTATCATGATTAAAATTATTATTATATTAGTAAATAAAAATATAAAAAAAGAAAAATGTATATTGTAATATTTCCACTGTAAAATTAAAATACTAATATCTATGGCTGTCTATCTATGGCTACATTTTCAAAAGTTAAACCAAGCTTTTATTTTGGTGAAAAACCTCAGAGACCTTAAAACTTATTTAACAGCCTCTTTATAAGCACGTTTCTTGACGAGTTTGGGAAGATCGTTGGAGCGTTGCATTTTCAAATGCAAGCTATAAGCTTTCCAAACTCAGAGCAGATGGAGAGATTTGTTCGTGTGGCGAAACAGTTACTGCTCTGAGAGACTGAAAACAATTCATCATAAGCTGCTCGCGTGTAAAAGGACACAGTGCTGTGCTTCATTCTGAAACACGCTGCAAATATATTTAAAGGGGTCATATGATGTTACTAAAAAGAATATTATTTTGTGTATTTGGTGTAATGAAATGTGTTTATGTGGTTTAAGGTTAAAAAAACATTATTTTCCACATACTGCACATTATTGTTTCTCCTCTATGCCCCGCCTTTCTGAAACGCGTCAATTTTTACAAAGCTCATCGGTCTGAAAAGCGAGGTGTGCTCTGATTGGCCAGCTATCTAGTGCGTTGTGATTGGCCGAATACCTCAAGCGTGTGACAGAAATATTACGCCCCTTACCATATTGTGATGCCCTGTCAGGCCGGAGCAACGAGACGAAAACATTAAAACCCATTATAAACGAGGCATTTGTTGCATCCAGTGGGGACATAATTACGGATTATAATGATTTATACATGTCATTGCATTGTTGCATCGCACCGCGTAAACATAAAACCATGTCTGCATTTGTCATCGGAGAAATGACAAACAACAAGCGCTACTCTACACTGCTCAAATCCTGCGTTTGAATCATCAGTGGCAAATTCTTTAATATAAAAAACGTACTTACAGTCATAACAGCAACATTGTAGTCTACTCTACCAGGATCAGGAAACAGCCCTCCATAAAATGCGCTGCACACATCTGAATATTTGGGTTGAACTGTTCTGGAACAGTGTTGTAAATACAACTTAACCACTGATTTCTAGTCATGTCCTCTTTTGGAAGGCCAAACAAAGTAGTTTCGCTTTCACAACGAAACACACAGCGTCACACATGGCGGGCTAGAGTGAGCAGAGGCGGGCGGGCTTGAGAACGGCGCGGCCAGCGGATTCGACGGAGTGGCCGGCGGGCTTGCAGCAACCACATGTGATGAGCCCGGGCTGGACTCCGCTTCGTCCACATTGAAAGCCGATCCGGCGATCCACAGCGCGAAGTTGATGTATTTTTCTTTCTTTGCGTGAACATTTGGGCGGCGTTATGCAAATCTTCCCACATCGTGACGTAGACATGTGGGGGCGTGTTAGAACGAGCCGTTTTAGGTAGGCGTGGTTGACTCAACTTTTATAAAGAATATCTCTTTGGATTTGAGACTTTAGTCTTTGCAACTTTACAGATCTTCTTTATGCACCAAGAGCTTGTATCACTTTAAAGAGAAAGGAAAAATTGAAATCGCATCATATGACCCCTTTAATTAAATTGCAGCCTTTGCTCGCACTAAGCCATATCACAATTTCGTTTTTAGTTTGATTCAATTGTGCAGCCTTAATGAAATGTGTTTAATGTAAAGCAGTTTAGCAGCGTAACAGACCCATCTCCGTGTTCTCCTCTGCAGGACTGGACGACACATGCTGAAGCAACCACAGACGACCACACGGCCCTCCAGCACCATTAGTGAGGCCTCGACTACCGTCACCTCTTCAACTCTGGACACCACTTCAGGCTCAAAGGTCAGTAAGAACCTGATCCTGTTGGACAGACAACAAAACTAGTCAAACGGAAAGAAAATAGACCTGATATTTTGTAGATAGAAGACTGTATGAGCAAGTTAGCTTGACAAGACTCCTGATGCTGATCATTCTCTATGCTTAGTTAGCATCTGTTCTGGTAATTAGAGTGTTTATTCCTCTGTGCTGAGGCATCAATTCCCTAGTGCTGGTGACACAAACACAGAGTGATCAGAACCCTTGACTAACATCTCTGAGCAGACAAAGAAGACCAATGAAATGGATTGCGATTCGTATTGTGAGTGATTTGTTGCATATCTGTATGCATTGTTTGGGATGTGATACACATGAGTTGAATAACATGCTTTTGCTTTTTTCCAGATATTTAAAGTGATAATCCACACAATAATTGCAATTCTGTTATTATTTAGGACAGTTCCAAACTTAAATATACTTTAATTTAATTTCTGTTTAAACTCGTATGTCATGTATTTAAATATAATGTAAGTACAACTTTGTAATGATGAAGTTGCATTTTAGTACATTGAAATATATTAACTTGAAATGTCATATCAGATAACACACTACAGTAAAAATTATAATCATGAACTTTACAAGTTTTTTAGTATCTTATTCAACATAAAAATAAGTGTACTTCTTTAAAACATGACAAAATCTTAATAAAGCAACGATTTAAAATGTACTTAAAAATGAAACTTTTTATTTGACATTATTACAAAGTCAAAGTCAAAGTGCACTTTTTAAAGTGTTCTCAAGTGTGTTAGGAAAACAGTTGTGAAAGTGTTCTTCTTTTACAATACCTTTTATTTCATTTATATTATATTATCTGCATGTACAGTTTTTAAATAAATATATATACTTTTAAGATTTAAGCTACACTACCAGTACACATTCAGTGCAATTAAACTCTCACACAAGGGCTTTTTCCACAAGGGGTATTTTTTTAGTGGAACACAAAAGTAGAAATTTTTGAAGAATATTTATACAGATCATAGTGACCCATATGTAAATTATTATTATTTTTTTAATTCTGGCTGCAAAAGCCAGATATGCACAAGTATAAATAGAAGTGAAGATTAGAAGAAAAAATGACTTTGATTAGAGGTCGACCGATATGGGTTTTTCACTTGCTGATGCCGATATTTAGAAATCAGGGCAGCCGATGGCCGATATATGATGCCGATTTTTTTGGCCGATATTTTTGCCGATTTTCTTTTTTTTTTTTTTTCTTCATCTCATAAAAGTGAGTTTGAGTAAATAGTAAATGATTATTGCAGGGGACAAGATAGTAATAGTAGTAGTAGCCTAATTCAGAGTAATAATACATGGCTCAAAACTTAAGCACCTTCTCAAAACAGTTCTGAAGCATACTTTTTGTTTATGTTTGCTGACAGACACCAGTGTTTCCCACAGACTTGCAAATGCAAATTAATTCTCCGCCAGCAGGAGGCGCTGTTGGAGCGGGAAATATAGCGGTTTCCCTGGTAACGGCTGTAATCTAATAAGCACTACGCTCACAGTCACAAACGCTACTTTTATCAGGCATTACAGGAAAGACAAAACGAAAATGACATCGAAGCGTTGCTGAAGACAGTCGGTTCTTTTCAAAGATACATTCATATAAAAACATCCGCGCTGCATTTTAATTTTGAAACGTGCAGTGCTCAGTTTATTCAACGAAGTATAAGCCTTTTGGGAAATCTATTTATGGTGGTGACGAGCCGCCACAAATAACTCAATGTATGGGAAACACTGGACACTGCTATAAGTCAAATGGCCAAGTGATAACAAAAATAAAAGAGTTCACACATATTACACAGCCCGCTGCTCATAACTGCTTAGAGTGCACTGGCCACGAGCGATGACATCGTGGATGCTATTGTCGGACCTACACACACATTTCATGAGGAAAGCTATCGGGCATGTTATAATCAGCCAAGAAGTTTCGTCTGAATTGCATGTGTTTCTACTTTCACATGCAAATGACTTGTTGCACTTATGAATATGATAACTTTCCGGCATCAATTCTAGTAGGGTAAAACGTAATTACTCTTTCAAAACGGTCTGTTTTGCCCTGCCATCATTAGCTGAAGCTGTGTGTGAACAAGAAGCGGCTGCAGAGTGTGAGTTGCTCCGTCTCGCACGCAACCAGAGAGAGATTCTCTGACATTCCGCAACAACACTTAGCTGCCTGCAGATGCGCCTGCCTATAAATCGGCCTACTTTGCAGCACAATCGGCCGATGCCGATTAATTAAAAAATGCCGAAAATCGTCCGATTAATCGGCCAGCCGATCAATAGGTCGACCTCTAACTTTGATTGTAGCTTGTACCTCATGCAAAACATGGACCATTTTATGACACTTTTTAGGATACCTTTTTCTTTTTCTTTTTGGAACATTACAGATACAGACACGGTCACTGGTGTATAGAACGAGTGTGAGAGGGACTGAATAATTGCAGAATTTTCATTTCGTTATTCCTTAAAAACTTCAATTAAAAATATATTTTAAACCATTTGTGAATCTTGTATCCCTCACATCACATATGCTTGACATGGATTATTCACATTGATCTAAAAAGCTAGACCTTTGCAATACAAAAACAGCAGTTGTATGAAGCTTATCGTTTTATAACGGAGGCCTTGGTAATATTATAATCATATCATCATCTTATGTTACCTCACAGAATGCGGGCGACTGCCATAGTTTATTAAAGAGCCGCCAAAGAATGCAGCAGCAGGAACGCTGCCTGTGTCATCTCCTGCCTGCGTTTGGACTGTTCTAGATGAATGAGTGCTTGTAGCTCTTGTCGTTGGCAGCGACAGCGTGCAGTGGTGATGTATTAGCCGTATGAGTGCTCTGGCATGTGTGAGTGGCGGGCAGCATGTAGGCTTACGTTGCTTTGCCCACAGAATGCCAGCGGATGGTGTGTAAGATCAGCTATGCACCCCTGGCAGATGGTCCAGACTAATAGGTGATGAATGAGCTTTCAATCCCCCAGTCATCTTCAGTTTATGTATGTGTGTGTGTGTGTGTGTGTGTGTGTGATATAGGGATCCAAGTCCAGTGGAAGGGTCCATAGCTTTGGCAAACGGGATCATGCCATAAAGCGGAATCCCAGTGTTCCTGTAGTGGTACGTGGATGGCTCTACAAACAGGTAAGAGGATTTGACCAATGCTTGTTTATTGGTTAACCAAACTTTTGCTTTCAAAGTATACTTTACATGACAAGTTTTCAGCCTTTACAGACCCAAGAAGCCAGATTGTCTCAGTAACACTTTATAATGTATTTGATTTATATCACCTTTCAAATGTTTGGAGTCAGTAGGAATTTTTTTTTTATATATATATATTTAAAAAAAAAAAGTATACTTTTATTCAGCAAGAATGCATTAAATTGACCAAAAGTAAAAAAAAAAAAAATTCTGTTACTAATAAATGCTGCATCACGGTTTTCAGAGAAATATTAAGCAGCACAACCATTTCAGCAATGGTAATAATAAATGTTTCTTGAGTGCCAAATCAGCATATTAGAAAGATTTCTAAAAGATCATGTGACACTGAAGACTAGAGTAATTTTTGCCATCACATGAGTAAATTTTATTTTAAAATATTTTAAAATAGAAAACAATTATTATAAATTGCAACAATATTTCACAATATTACTATTTTTACTGTATTTTTGATCAAATAAATGCAGCCTTGATGTGCATAAGAGACTTCTTTTAAAACTTTCATATGTTAGTTTACTTTAACGAATATTAGTATTACATAATGCTTAACAGATCATCAGTTAGAAGGTTATAGCTAGAAATTAGTTATTAAAAAAATCAGTTTTATACCCTGGAGGTTCTTCAGGGACATTCATGGACCCCTAGTTGAAATTTCTAGTCTTTTAGTCTTTCTAGACCAAATCATTCAAATTGGACGGACCAGAAAGATCAAAACTTCAATTTTATGAAGTTTGAAACCATTTTGTTTGACCACAAATCTGAATATTGGGGAAATGTGTCTTCCTAAACATCAGTAGTTGTGACACAGCATTTTTGGGCATCACAGGAACTTTTGAACAGTTGAAATGCGTATTTTGAGCTTTTAAACACATCATAAATGCGGTCTAGGTAGGCAGCTCATTTGGCTTTTCTTTTGTCTTTTTCAGTTATTCAGACACAAACACACATGCACACATGGGTCTTTCACGGCGTGAAAACATCAGGAGTGTATTTACATGGATAGTTTTTGATAATAGGCTTTGAAAAAACTCTTTAACTGGAAGTGAAACGGTGCTGTCAAGGGGAAGTGCTGCGAATTGCATGTTTGAAGTCTGTTTGAAGTGCTGTCTTTCCCCATCAGATGTCTTCACCTGCCTGAGTGTGTGTGTGTTTTCCCATCAGTGTTTGTGTTGCTTTGTACTTTCAGGACAGCTCAGGGATGCGGCTGTGGAAGAGAAAATGGTTTGTTCTAGCTGATTATTGCCTCTTCTACTATAAAGGTGGGTGGCTCTAGCAAACATCAAACAGAATCACATTTACACAGGGAAGCTTATAGTACCTGTTAACATTTCTCCCAGATAATGATTATTTGCATTATTTTGTTTGTAATAGCATGTTGGTCACTAAGTCCTAATTCTACTAATTGTACTTTCAATCTTTTAGCTATGTACTGTCCCCAGAGTTTAACATGATATATTTAGCAAACTCTAAGAGTAGTTTATTCAGGGAAATTAACATGATTTTTTTCGGTTGCTCATATCTATGCAGTTTCTTGGATCACACCAACTTGCTATTTCAGCTGACTCAAACCTTGTTTGTGTTATTATAAAGATTTTAAATCAGTTTAAGTTATTGTTATTATATATTGTTATTAGGTAAGTGAAGATAAAGAAAAATAAAGCAGTAAAAAAAATTCTATATTTGAAAGATATATTTCAAATATAGAATATAGATATATATATTTTTTCAGCATTGTCATGTGGAAAAATTCTCAGCAATGCAGGGAATGAGGAGATGGTAGCATCATTCAGGTTTCAGGGTTTCATACTACAGTACATCACACAATGGTGTGTGAGTTCATGACAGCATTGATAAAGCACAACTCCCTCATATGTGACCCTGGAGCACAAAACCAGTCTTAAGTCGCTGGGGTATATTTGTAGAAATAGCCAAAAATACATTGTATGGGTCAAAATTATTGATTTTTCTTTTATGCCAAAAATCATTAGGATATTAAGTAAAGATCATGTTCCATGAAGATATTTTGTAAATTTCCTACTGTAAATATATTAAAACTTAATTTTTGATTAGTAATATGCATTACTAAGAACTTCATTTGGACAACTTTAAAGGCGATTTTCTCAATATTTTGATTTTCTTTTGCACCCTAAGATTCCAGATTTTCAAATAGTTGTATCTCGGCCAAATATTGTCCTATCCTAACAAACCATACATCAATGGAAAGCTTATTTATTCAGCTTTCAGATGATGTATAAATCTCAATTTCGAAAAATTGACCCTTATGGCTAGTTTTGTGTAAAACATCCCTATGTAAAAACTTAATGACCTTCGAACTTCACTGTGGGAATCAGGCACAAGTCAACGATTGACTTGGTCACATGAGACCAGTGTATGGATTCCCATAGGCCTTTGAAAAGGCTAAATGAGTTTATTGTGCTTTGGCTACAGTAGGTAGTTCCGGTACGGATAAACAACATTGCATTTCATTTCTGCATATTGCATCTTACTGTGTTGTCATACTGTGTACTCTTATTCCAGTTTTTACTGGCTCTGAGACATTTGCTTGGTATTTCTCCTGTTCTTCTTCTAGCAAAAAAACACTCATCACGAAATGAAAGCTTAAAGTAAAGGCCTGATTATTTCAGGGACCTTGTCGCAAGTCCGTTGTTTTTGAATTTCTTTTAAAACCATGATTTGGTATTCCTTTTGTATCACTGTCCACTTTTGTGCAAAGGAATATGCCTCCTGACAGTTCTCTCCAAAGTTTTTCCATTGTTGTCAGCATTATGCCTGAGAATGAATGAACTTGCACCAGAAAATGTAAATGTTTTTCTTTTTTGTAACTTCTAAGAGGTTGTACTTAACATTTTGATAAGAAATCACTTTAAGAAAATCTTATTTCCCTGAATAATTTTGACATGCTTCTTTAGTAACTGATCAATCAGACTCTCTGGAAAATTTGTTAAGTGTCAGAGGTGGTGTACTCATTTTTTAGTTCACTTTTTAGTTTATGAAAGTACACTTTGTAGTATACTCTCAGTAAACTATCAGTTTAATATAGTTTTGTACTAGAAGTATACTTGTAAGGTTTCTTCAAGTTTTTCTGTATACTTGTCAGTATAAGCCAAGTATACTTAAGTATAAATTTAAGTATATCTCTGATAAGTACAAAAAAACTGAAAAGTATACTGAAAGTATACTCTTATTTTTAGATTAAAAGAAGTATACTAATAGTACAGTTGAATAAACCTCTATTTGGTGAGGGAGAGCTACATTATAAGAATAGTTCACCCCAAAAAAAGAAGATAATTCTGTCATTATATACTCACCCTCATGTCATTCCAAACCCTTATGCTCTTATTTTATTCATGCAATACAGTAGAATGAATTGTTACACAGCTCACCATACAGCTTATAGTAACTTTGTGTGAAAAACAGACTAAATTTAAGTTGTTAATCATTGATATTCTGATATATTCATATTATTCATAGAACTATATTCTGATATTAACAAAAATGACTAAATATATTCTTGTTTGAAATCATGCATTATTTATTTCTTGTCTGACATCAAATATCAGATCTACTTTCTTTCACCATTTGAAGCTTGTCAATGCATGTTTACTTATTTCCCCCGTCTGGTCATAATGGGATGTAATCCGTCCTCATTTTCCAGTCAGTCTGCTCTTCTCTGCCTCAGACCCCCAGCTCTCTGCTCACTCAAATGAAAGAGTCACCTGCCTCGGTTTGGAATCTCTCCTTCAAACAACCTAGAAGTATTTTTAACCCATTACTTCCTAATCCAGCCACCCATATTGTTTGTCAACCCACCACTCAATCTCTGTCTCAGACAAACCCACACATAAACACACTCTCACTCCCACACACACTAGCGTTCCACTGGAAAGAAATGGTCAGGGCGGAACAAGGAGGCAGAATGAGGCTGAACTTAAATGTGTGAAATGTGGTGTGAGAAACACAGGTCAGAGAGAATCGCATGCCAGGAAGGAAGAGAGAGTGAGAAAGACACCACGTCAAAACCAGACTGGTTGCTCAATTGGGTTGTTTTTTCCCCACAGACAGTCGTGAAGAGTCGGTGCTGGGGAGCATTCCTCTGCCCAGCTACACTATCGCTCCTGTGGGACCTGAAGATCACATTAGCCGAAAATATGCCTTCAAGGTAAGATTATTTTGACACAGATAGCAACACTTTTAAAAGAATTATAAAAGCTATTCACATTAAATTTGCAACCCTTAACTGTATGCTATGCAACAGTGTTTACATAGAAGGTATGCCTTAAAGGGACAGTTCACCCAAAAATGAACCTTTTTTTGTCATTTACTGTGGAACACAAAATTCTTTTTTTATGAATGTACTTTAGTGGTCATTCTTTTAAATACAAAAGGAACCATTCGACTTTGTTATCCACTTTTTGTGTTTTTGACACAGAACCAATAGTTCTCTCCAAAACATTTTTTAATGATGATGTAAATGATGAGAGGATTTTCATTTTCATGGGTGACTCTATAATTGTCCCAAGCAACCGATTAACCAAAGTAGCTATGTACTTATCACGAAATGAGCCTCTTCAGGGTAAAACAGGTCCTAAACTCCCTGTCACAATTTATATTTGGAATAATGACTGTAGATACTGTAAATGCTCATTCATCTCATTTTCCTTGCACTAGCTGCATCCTCTTCCCTAGTCAGCTGTGTCTTACTGTTTTGTCATGTGCAACTGCTGATTTTAAAGTCACTTTGAGTCACTCCCTGCTGTTATGAATATGCATGCTTCATTATCTTGCATGGCTTCAGCCCTGTGTATAGAACGCAGACAGAAATGAACCATTCAGTGCACTATCAATATTTTCATACCATTTAGAATACATTTTCCCCATGAAGGCCGTCTATTTGTATATAACCAATTACACAAGCTGTTTTTATACATATACAGCTCTTCTTTTTTGGTGCTTCTCTATGTGCGAGTGTTTTTGTAGGCGAAGACTAGTTCATGCGGTTTCATCCCCTGCAGCTTGTGTGGTTCATTGTTGTCCTCATGAGGTTCATGACACAGAGTGAATGTATGGGTCTGTTCTCATCCTGAGGGTAACAAGGTTACATAACCAGTCTACGTCTCTCTACTCAACTCCTTCCTGCCCCTGTTCTCAAAGCTGGAGAGAGATTTTTCAACGCGGGAGCGGAAAGAGACAACATTCCAGTTTTCAAGAAGAAGATCTTAACGCTTAATGGTTTAAAGTACACGTTGATCTCAGTTTGCACTTTGCAGCACTCCTCTTTCACTTTCCTCCCTTAACGGATAGTTTTACACAGCCTACGGTGTCACATCATTCTCCACAACTGTTGGCGAGGAGCTAGTAGTTGTATCACACTCTATTTAGAGGGTTACGGATCATTTGCCATAAGCTTCACACAAGAGAGAATGTTTACCTTGGTATCTGGATGTAGATTTTTGGTATTGAGTGACTCAGATGGGCAGCAATGAGTCTGTAATCTGTACTAATCCTCTATGAAAAAGAAGGCTTACCGCGGTGAATTCTGCTCAGCCAGCAAACTCACCCCACATGCTGGTAGATAGACACGGCCGAGTGCCAGAGTGCGTTTCACTGATTCTGCGATGAACTTCTAGATATCGGTACGAATGTGGGAAAGACCCAGGCTACTGAGCTCATCAAACTTCGGCTTTATTTCTGTTATGGCTTCTAACTGTGGGCATTTGTGCTTTGTGTTGCGGGCTGTTTTGTGGTCTGGCATTGTGTTTTGTGCTCTTTTTTGCTGCTGTTTGTTTCTGTCACCCGCTCATCTTGACGGTGCTGACAGTCCTTAAATGATACTGACAATTTCCCAGTACGTGTACATATCCTAAACAGGAAAAGCTTGTAGGTGTTGGTTCAGGTGACCAGTCATTGTCCTTTATTTGCTGAACTATGTCTTTCCTCTGTTCCCATTGGTGGGCTTCCTGCCTGTGATGAGTGACTGACAGTCCAGAAAGGCTCTGAGACACATTCAGCATCATCCATAAATAGGTAAAATTTTAACTCTACAGTTTCTCTACCTTAACCTCTGGCATGTGCAAACTCTTTGAGAATGTTTGTGACCTTTCTCACTGACATTATTTCCTCTTTTTGAGATGTGATGTGGGAAATTATTCTATTCAGAAAACAATAACCAGCAGACATTTAAGCAGTCTTAGGATATAGCTGTTTTTTTTAATTTTTTTATTTGCATATGAGACCTTGAGGAAACTGCATGTATCAGGTAATATTGTAATGTTTGGATTAGTTTACTGGGTCGGGGTTGCCACGGTTATTTCCAGACCAAGAAAAGTCATGGAAATAAATGGAATATGGAACATTGACACACTAAACTTAGTTATATCCTATATGTACATAGGATCATGCATGTACATATATTTATTGTGTTTACTTTCAAGTTGCTTGCAATAAACAGTTTTATTTTAGCCGCTTTTCCACTGTCAGGCCAAACTGTACTCATTGCTTAACCATTTGATTCTGTGCCTATCCAGCCAAGCTTGTACAGATATGGTTTCAGTTTCCACTGTAGGGCTGATAACCGAGCTCGTAACACTTACGCAAGTGTTTACATACAGTATGAGATGTAAATAGTGACCACTTGATGGAGAATTTCAAACAAATGACCAATCCTGAGTGATCACTACACGCATTCTACAAGCACAGTTCAGTTCCAGGTCGAGAACAGTGTGTAATCGAGTCAAACCAAGTGGAAATGTGAATGTAACCGTTCCTTACTGTTCTTAGAACCATTTGGCCCAATGGTGGAAAAGCCATTGGGCTTTTCATACCTAAAACACATCAGGAGAAGCATTTACATAATCATATGAATGCAAATACAGAATCTAACCATTAATTGAATTCAAATAGATTCTCATTGTGAACTGGACTGAACAGAATAGTTCTAAATTTGCAAAAATCGTTATTGAATCGTATCAAAAATCTATGAATCCTGAATTGAATCAATTCACACCCCTAACAGAGATATTTAACATATACCTTTCTAGAGAATACTAAATTTTGACTACTGTATCATCAAGACATGTATATTGTGCAGTGGAATCAGTTCAGTTGTAAGCCAATAGAGCTGTTAAATAAAAGCTCTCTTTACCAGGGCACTGCGTTCTTATAATGGATCGTGGATGACATAAGAGAGCATGCTTTTAATGAAAGGCCTGGTTAATCTAAAAGCATCTTCAAATAGTCCTACATGCTGCAGGGTGCCAAAAAGAAAGGAAGCTGCATGCTATTGTTAGCTCTTTGTTTTGTCTCCTGTGTGTACACAGCTGTGTTTTTGTGTGCACATACAGTAATTTTGCCTGTTGGATCATACTAATAAGTTATGATTTAATCTGATCTGAATTATGATTTAATATCACATAGAATTAAACTTTTGGTTAGCTAAGTTTAGCTTAGTTTTTCAACAATGTAAAAATCTTTACTGACATTTTTGATCAATTTAATGTGTTTTTGCTGAATAGCAATGATAAAAAAAACTTTCTGACCCTAAACTTTTGAAGTGCAGATGGAACATTTTCTGTGTGCATACAGGTGCATCTCAATAAATTAGAATGTCGTGGAAAAGTTCATTTATTTCAGTAATTCAACTCAAATTGTGAAACTCGTGTATTAAATAAATTCAATGCACACAGACTGAAGTAGTTTAAGTCTTTGGTTCTTTTAATTGTGATGATTTTGGCACTCACCAGACCTGAACCCCATAGAGAATCTATGGGGTATTGTCAAGAGGAAAATGAGAAACAAGAGACCAAAAAATGCAGATGAGCTGAAGGCCACTGTCAAAGAAACCTGGGCTTCCATTCCACCTCAGCAGTGCCACAAACTGATCACCTCCATGCCACGCTGAATTGAGGCAGTAATTAAAGCAAAAGGAGCCCCTACCAAGTATTGAGTACATGTACAGTAAATGAACATACTTTCCAGAAGGCCAACAATTCACTAAAAATGTTTTTTTTATTGGTCTTATGAAGTATTCTAATTTGTTGAGATAGTGAATTGGTGGGTTTTTGTTAAATGTGAGCCAAAATCATCACAATTAAAAGAACCAAAGACTTAAACTACTTCAGTCTGTGTGCATTGAATTTATTTAATACACGAGTTTTACAATTTGAGTTGAATTACTGAAATAAATGAACTTTTCCACGATGAATTTATTGAGATGCACCTGTACATAAAAAAAAAAAAAATGATGGCCAATTCTGATTTATCTTTCTTAACTTAACATTATATAATGGATTTTATCTGTTCTCAGACATTCTGCTGAAGTTAAAGTAATAGTTCACCCCAAAATTTTTATTTTGTCATCATACTCTCCCTCATGTCATTCCAAACGTGTATGACTTTTTGTCTTTCATGGAACACAAATAGAAGTGTTTTCAATAATTATTCACACAGCTTTTTCTCATACAGGGAAATCACACAGTGACTAGAGTCTGTACAGCTAAATGTAATTATAAAAGCAGTCCATATGACATGTGCACTGTATTCCAAGTCTTCTGAGGTTATTGGGCAAAAAGCTGAAGTCATTATCCACTGAAAACTGCCTTAGGCCATGTGAATGACACCAGATGCTATGACAGGATTTTTTCAACTTACATTTCTGTCTTTTTGTCACATAACGCTTAAGAAGGCTTGGAATGGACTAGTTGCATGGATTAGTTTTATTGTGCATTTTTGTTCCTTATGGTACAGCCCTTGGTCACTGTATACACTTGTAAGGAAAACAGCAGCATGCACATTCATCAGAATGCCGCTTTGTGTGTTCTGTGTAAGAACGACTGGTTCACTGGTTTGAAATGGCATGAATATTAATAAAATAAAGACACTAATTTTATTTAAAAACATGAGTCTCATTTGTCTGAAGAAATTAGATAGGGATTACTTCAGTGGATGTTTTAGCTGGGTATTTATCATCTAGTCATCTGAAGTGGTCCAGGCCCCCTGTATGATTCAAACCGATCAGCCATCTGTCTGCGTTTTACAGCCTCATTGCAGAGCTTTCCCTCAGTGGACCATTAAAACACAGGCAGCAGCTTAGCACCTCACTGCTTGCCTTTAATGAGCTAGTCATGTAAACACGCGTGTCTTCATACGATGTATTTTGTGTTGTGCTTTCTGCTCACACTTAGAGAGAAAAGAAATGAATTGGTGAAGAAACGAGACTGGATGTCTCTAATGAACCATAATTGTCTCTTTGTTTTGTTTTACGTAATCGAATGCAGCGCAAGTTACTCTCTCTCTGAATCTATTTTTAATGAGGAAATTGCAGGCTGAGTTCATGTTAATTAAAACAGTGTCTGTGCTGTTTTGTTGAATGGCAGTTTGCCTGTGTGTTTTATTTTAGTTATACGTAAGTAAAAAGGAAAAAATATATTATATTATATTATATTATATTATGTTATGTTATGTTATGTTATGTTATATTATATTTTATAAATTCATATTCAATAACTTGCAATTTGTGCAACACTGATGTGATGCTACCGAAATTATAACATTTAAATTATAACTTATTCATAGTTGTTGTCTTTATATAAATAAACTTGTCTTTGAAAATATTTTATGACATATTATTATTTATTATAGTATGTTCAAAGCCATACTTTCTTTGCTTTACTTTTTAATGACTTTACTTTTAATTAATTAATTAATTTATATATATACTTAATATAACACAGGGGTAAAATATATTAAATTTATTATGTTTTACTATATTTTATTATATTTTTACCTTGTATATTATATTATATTATATTAATTAGTAGCATATAATTTGTGCAACACAGAAACTGTGATAACATAAACATAACAGTAGTAGTCTTTATATAAATAAACTTGTCTCTTCTAATACCATATGACTTTTTTATCACTTATTTTAATATTTGCAAACGTGTACTGTCTTCGCTTTACTTTTATTGGGTGGTGTGCTTATTGTAACAAATCTGACCTTTGGTCTAGTCGTCTGTCCTTCATGCTGATTCATATCGTTGTTCCTGTATCTATTATGTATTACCTAACTGAAAAGTTATTTAAATCGGTGTGTATATGTGTTTCTTATCACAGTTTGGCCTTGGCTTGATCGGCATTTGCTCCTTTATTCATTCTGACTTCCTGTGTCTCATCAGTATGTCCGCTGTGTTGTATTCCTCCACGCTTCTAATTATCATGCTGAAATCTCAGATGCTCCTCTGGCCAATACTTATCTGCTGATGCAGTGTTTCTCCTTTTCCCAGGGCTGGACTGATTTTAGTGCTTTCTCTCTTGCAGGCTACACACACAGGGATGCGCTCCTACATTTACAAACAAAGCTCTGTGATTGGCTCGCAGGCGGAGCACACTGGGATGAGGACGTACTATTTCAGTGCGGACACACAGGAGGACATGAATGGCTGGGTCAGGGCCATGAACCAGGCTGCACTGATGCAAACCCATACAGTGAAGAGGTCAGTGAGTCACGAAACTTTTCAAAAACATTTTCTTAACCAGTATTGTGTTTTTTATGGCCAGGAAAAACATCTAAATGTCATTCAAACAAGAATTTACTTAAGGTTGTTTCACAGAATACATATTTGACATTTGTTTTGTATCAACAAATTCTTTTTTGTCTTGTTTTAAACATTAATCTCATAACATTTAGAGCTAAATTTAAGATTTACTGTATGTGTGCGAATTGCATGTAAAGTTTCCATCCATGTGAATTACACAGTTTTGGCATAATCTAATAAACTATAAGTGATGCTTAATTGTCAGGCATGCATAACTGAAATGGGTAACATTTCTCCAAAAGTACTAATAAATTTAATCAGGTTTATATATTTATAATCAATAAATCCAGTTTGTTTCAATCTCATACATTTTAACTAACTGAAGATTGCCCGTTCCACATCTAGCCATATTTTAACCATGTTCATACTTTTGAACTGAATAAATGTAGCTGTTTTCACAATGAACAGATTTATGTTGATTCTAAGAAAAAAAAGAAGAAAAAAGAAAATAGTATTAAACTATTGTCATGCCATTATGTTTTTGAGTGCAGAACTCGTACTTGTTTCATATATGTATGACTGACAAAGATGCATCCCATTTTATTAGTTTATTCATTTAAATTAGTTTAAATCTGTATAAAACAAATAGAAGGAAATTTTATATGCAATTCAAATAAAAAATAAAAACATGAAATAAAAAGTGCTGATTTAGTTATACGTTTTTCTTAATTTTTCTATATTTTAATCTAAAAATGTGAATTTTGTGTGATTAAATGTTCATTTGCAGCTGTTTTCTCAAGTGTTTGTTAAATAGTGTATGTGTTTGTGTTTAAAGTGTACTGTCAAATGCAGTGTGTGTCAAGGGACGTTGTGAGTCTGTGAGTGTTTGTCGGGTGTCAGTCTTGTTGATTGACAGCGAGGCCGCAGTGTATCTTGCTCTGCCAGTGCAGAAGACCAGACGGGTACTGAGCAGTGACTCAGCTTTCTATCTCTCTGTTCTCTGGGCTGGCCTCACTTCTTTGAGACAGTCACAGAGCCCAAACTCAGCTCAGATGTGGACTGAGTACTCGAATAGTCAAAATGACAAAATACTTATCCCTAGTTCAGATACTATAAACATGAATAGGAATAGTCTGGAGTCGCACTTTTTTAAAATACGGTCAATCCCAAACACTGACTGTGTGAACATAGGCTGCATAAACATGTATATGGTTTAACCATCTCTCAAGACCATCAGTGCACTCTTTTGACATGTGTAATGCATGTCGCCCAATTTCAGCCATAAAAGATTGAATAGTTAGCTGTCACTGCTGGTGATGTTGTTAACCAAGGCACCAAATTGGGATCACGGTAAGATCTTTGAGTTGTCATAGCAGCCCAACACTAATGAGACTAGTGTCAGCTTGAGCTGGCAGTCAGCGAGGCAGAAAATTAGACTGTGATAGTCCAAGATAAAAACGCCATTCTGAGTCATTTCTTTTCATAGAGTGGTTTTCATTCTCATAGATGCCCTTATGTTTGTGTTTTCCCTTTCTCCTTTGCCAGAGTTGTTTTGCGAATACCATTGTTTGGTGATTTGAAAGGAATCAGTCATGCATACGCCTTGCCGTTTCATGTCCTACTGTAGGAATGTGGGATTCATATTTTCGGAGAATCTCTGTAGGCTTTGTTTTGGTCCAGCCTATTTGCACATGTGGCTATTTGTGCAAATACTCTGAGTAAATTATCTGCAATACGCCCACGAAGTACACATGCACTTTGTTCAATTGCACAAACCTCTTAGTTCCCTTTATTTGGGTAAATCATAGTTGACCAGTTTGAACACCTTTGAGAAGAAGTGCGCTAAAACGTACAAGTAAATGGGTACTTGTACAGTACTTCAAATCTTACAAGTATATAAAAATACTGTACATCTAGATAATATAATATTAATATAGGCCACTTAACTGTACTTACAGAGTACACTTTCACACACTTTGTAAAAGTATTGTACTTTGTCAAATGTTAAATTAAATGTTTTCCTTTTAAGTAAATTTTTAAATAATTGTTTTAAAGGCACACTATGTAAGATTTTTTTATTAAAATATCCAAAAACCATGAACATGATTTCTGCTCGAGCCCCGTCGGATTGCATCGGCTGTGGGGATGAAGACAACAGCTCCCATGATTCCACACTCAGTCACAGCGTCATCTAACTACGCCTTTGTTTCTTTGTTTATTTTGAATACGCGCCCTCCAGCGGCAAAAATGACATATTGTGCCTTTAATCATTCTTTGTCATGCATTATACAGTAAAAGTACATTTATTTTGATGTTAACTAACATATTGAAGCACATAAAGTACTTTATTATAATTTTAACTGTAGTGTTACTTGATGTTGCATTTCAATTTTAATATTTTATTTATTTACTACATTTTAAATGTACTAAATTGCAGCTTCATTATTACAAATGTGTAAATACAAATATATTTAAATCCATGACATGCACGTTAATAGAAATTACGTTATATTTTAGTCTGTAAAATATAATTAATGCTTGTTGGTATATTGGGCAGTACACTTTCACCATATTTCAAAGACAATAGAAGTAATTATCCAATTACATATAATTAAGTACTACTTTAGTGGGATAAAAAGCACTCTAAAGTTCAGCATATTGCATTTATTATAAATTTAAACTATAATACATTTTCATATAATTGCAATTAACATGCAATTAAGTGTCTGAAAAAGTATGTTCTTTTATTATTTCCATGAAGTGCTTTTTTTTTTAAAGTATGCTAAAGTATACTTTTTTCTCACAAGGGAATGAATCATATCTAAATATTAGAATAAATGCATCTCTTCTCAATCAGTACCCAAACAATTACATCTCTATACCATAGATATTATCAGGCCTAAAGGAACATCTTTTCATGTTAAAATGCAGATGGAGATTTGGCTGTTGTAGACTTTGAGTGTGTCTGAATGCAAAGAGCCACTGGAGGCTATTTCTTTTTAGTCTGTGCAGCTTGGATATTATTAGTCTGACTGTAGAGTGAGCTCCAGTAGAGATAGCCAAGCTCCCAGTGGCCATGTCTTCTCCAAATGTAGATTCACTCAGGGCCTGATTTAATCATGTCACATTTAGACTGCTATATATGGACGATTTGAAGCTGGAATTAATTTTACGTGGTGGTACTGAATCATTTTTCATTCCACAGTTCTTGTTTGAAGAAACCAAGCAAAGTGTATTTGCAAAGTTCAACAGACTATTTAGTGCTCATTGTGGCAGTAAGGCTTTGCTTCTAACTGATACTTAAGCATTACATTTACCTCTGCAGAGCAATCACATGACTTTGATATTAACTAGATTTTACATTTTCATAAGAAAATGTGTGGCGCTTGTGCAAAACTCACTTCTACAATGCTAGATTCTTGTAGGCTTTTGGTTGCTACGTAGTTGGGTGTTGCTATGTGGTTGCTACGGTTTTCTGAGAGGTAACAGGACATTTCTATGCGACAGAATGGTGTTTTGAGTGTTTTTAGTGAGTTGCAATGCAGTTGCTAGGGTGTTGTGGGTGGTTGCCAGGGCATTACTATGCAGCTGCTAAGGCGTTGTGCATGTTTATAGTGGGTTGATATGAAGTTATGGGCAGTTGTCAAGGCTGTAGAGTTGGTTAATCATTGTTGTTTTTTTTCAGCTACAAAGGTATATTGTGTGTTTTTAAACAGGTTGCTATGTAGTTTCTAGGGTGGGTGGGTGGTTGCTAGCGAGTTAGTATGTGGCTGCTAAAGTGTTCTGAGTGTTTTGGTCGGGTTCCTATGCAGTTGGTAAGGTGGGTGGTTGCCAGGATGTTATTATGCCAGGGGTGTTTTTGGCAGGTGGCTATGCAGTTGTTGGGGTGTTGTGGGTAGTTGCCAAGGCATTACTAGTATGCAGCTACTAAAGTGTTCTAAATTTTTTAGAGGGTTTGCTCTGCAGTTGCAGGTGGTTGCCAGCACCAGCTAAGGAATTCTTAGTGTTTTTGGTGGGTTGCTATGCACTTGCTATTGTGGGTAACCACCCAGGGTGTTGTTATGCAGCTGCTAAAGTGTTCTGAGTGTTTTTAGTGAGTTGCTGGGTGTTGTGGATGGTTGCCAGGGCATTACTATGGAGGTGCTAAAGTGTTGTGAGTGTTTTTAGCAGGTTGCTATGCAGCTGCTAGTTTGTTATGGGTGGTTGCCAGGGCAGCTGCTAAGATGTTCTGAGTATTTTTAATGGGTTAATATGCAGTTGCTAGCGTATTGTGGGTGGTTGCCAGGGCATTACTACTGTGTTTAGCTGCTAAGGAGTTCTGATTGTTTTTGGTGGGTTGCTATGCTGGGTGGTTGTCGCTGCTGAAGTATTCGGAGTGTTTTTAGTGGGTTGCTGGGTGTTGTGGATGGTTGCCAGGGCATTACTCTTTAGCTGATAAGAAGTTCTGAATGTTTTTAGCAGGTTGCTATGCAGTTGCTAGTTTGTTATGGGTGGTTGCCAGGGCAGCTGTTAAGATGTTCTGAGTATTTTTAGTGGGTTAATATGCAGTTGCTAGCGTGTTGTGTGTGGTTGCCAGGGCGTTACTACTGTGTGTAGCTGCTAAGGAGTTCTGATTGTTTTTGGTGGGTTGCTATGCAGTTGCTATGGTGGGTGGTTGTCGCTGGTAAAGTGTTCGGAGTGTTTTTTGTGGGTTGCTGTGTGGTTGCTGGAGTATTGTGAAGTGTTGTGTAAAACGTGAATCCTGGAGCTTAACGAGACTAGAGTTGTGAATCTAAATAAGACAGTTTACAGTTATTGATATATTTAGTTTCATGAGCAGATTCCCTCACGTGTGAAGGCTGGGTTACTGTATGGTCCAGACTCCATGCTGTGGAATGGTGTTAATCTAACAGACCTGACATGTGATCCAGCAGCATGATAAAAGTATCATATAATAGACTCATAAAACCTCACTGACCTTTGCACGTCATGTTTTTGCCACACAGAGACGAGTCGGATCATCCAGACCAAGTGAACATTTCCGAGAAACTCAAGCAGCAGGCTGTTCCTCAGACCAACCACATCAACAGCTTCGTGATTCCAGAACCCAAAGTCATCCAAAGTGACAGGCTGCAGGAGGAGAAGCAGGAAGGATTTGTTGGAGAAGTGGAGATTAGGGTTGCTCCAAGAGAGATGGAGCAGGCGAGGGGTAAATCTCCAGCGAGCAGGATAGTGGAGGTGGAGGTTTTAGCTCCAGGGTCAGCACCGGAATCCCAAGTTCCCTCTCGAGCTCCTTCCAGGGCTGTCTCGACCCCGCCAGTGCTGAGGAACGGTACACCCACAGAGCAGAACGGCATGCCTGGGTATCAGAGGGGGCCTACACCTTCTTCTCAAACTCCTGTTCAGGTTCAGAGGAGGAGTGCACTGGAGCAGGTGGAGAACTGGGTCAAAGTACAGAAGGAAGAAAGCCAGGGGTGAGCGTACACATCTGTCGCATATTTTTACTACGGCTAAATTCAGATTAGTATACTTTTCTTACTATTTCTGCCATGTAATGATAGGGCATAAGTAGTTGGAGTAGTATGGTGGTATGCTTCTCCGAATTCAGTCACAGACACACTGTACAGAGAGTAGTTAGAAGAGTTAGATGTTACTGTGAAGAGTCATGGGATGTATCGCCCCCAAGTGGTTGAAAGCTTACTAAATCATCATCACAGTAAACAGCACCCCAATATTTAGTTTGTCAAGTAGACATGAAATGCCATTCACAATTCATTTTACGTTTGTGTGAATTTTAACAAGACAAGTCTTGCACTTTTCTGTTTTAAGCATCTGGATGTGTTTGAGTTGTGAAAATTGGAAAGGTTGGAAAAAATATTTGATGAAAAGACATTTTATGTTCTTTAGAATAAAATACAGCAAACCCTCAGTAAGACTAGGGCTGTTCAATAAAATAAATACACTGCGATTTAAAAGTTATGGTTCAGTAAGATTTATTTATTTATGTGAATGTTGAAAGGCTTTTTTTTTCCAGCTAGGATGCATTAAATAGATTAAAATTATTGACAGTAAAGACATTTATAATGTTACAAAAGTTTCATAAAATAAATGTTATTTTCAACTTTCTTTTTATTAAAGAATCCTGAAAAAATATAATAATAATATAATAAATATAAAAAATAAAAATATAATAATAATAAGAAGAAATGTTTCTGGAGCACCAAATCAGCATATTAAAATGATTTCTAAAGGATAATGTAACACTGAAGACTGGAGTAATGACGGTTGAAAATTCAGCTTTGCCACCACAGGAATAAATTAAATTTTTATTTACATTTCTTTATTCATTTACATTTCTATTTTAATATATTAAAATAAAAAGACAGTTATTTAAAATTGTAGTAATATTTCAGTTTTACTGTTTTTACTGTATTTTTAACCACTAATTGTAGCCTTGGTGAGCATAAAAGACTTCTTTCAATAAAAATT